TAGTACTTCTGCTAATAATTGTAGTATCTTTATAGGTTGTAGTGATCCATAAATGTTTGGTAGGTGCCTTGGTAAGTAGAGTATAGAGGTTTGGAAAAATGAGTTTGCTAGTAAGGTTAATTGATTCAGAGTATGAAGGAGATAGAAAAGAGAAAAGGATAGGTATAGGTTGAAATATAGTGAATGAAGATAGTAGTATAAATAGCATTAGTTTTAATAGTAGAATAGCTAACTAGCCTTCCTCAATTTAAGCAGAACTAGGTGCAATTTAGACAGCCTTGCTAGCAGTTCTTGTTAGTGCAAAAGTGAGATTATACTCTAATAGCAATGCAGCAATAGAAGGAATATAAGGGTTTCAAAGCTGAATAAATATCAGAAGTATGTTTAAAACTAAGAATTGTAGTTTAATTAACTAGATAATAGACTGCTATAGAACTAAAAATATTGAGCTAGAACTAATTAAGGTTAAAGGCTATAGTATGAACTACTAGAATAACAAAGCTGATATGTTAGCAAAAGAAGAACTCTTATCTAGCCTAATACTAAAAATACAAAATGCTATAACAGGCAGTATAAGAGTTGCACTAACTTATAAAAACAAGCTAATAGATAGCCTATTAAGATTCTTTATTAACATAATCACAACAATATTATACGAATACGAATGAGTAGACCTAAATAATATTAAACTAATACTAAGTCAAAGATCAAACAGACAAAGCAATGAAGAGCTAAACTAGAGAAACACATGAAGCATGCTAAAGAAGCTTCAAGAAAAAAGATATACTAGCATCAAAAAAAGCAAAGCTCTAATCTTCAGAATAAAGTGTCTCAATAAGTTATTACCAACTAAAGACCTCTGCTTTTAAAGAAACCTGAGCCTATATAAGAGCAAAACTTGTATAGTATGCTTTACAAAATAAGAATTATTAGAATATATTACAGAATACCAAATATATCAAGAGATTTGGAGAAAGATTGAAAGGTTAATTATAGTAGAACTAAGTATGAAAATTGATAATAGATAGGATATAGATATCTTAGAACAAACCTTAAAAGAAGTATTCTTAAAATAGAATATAGCTAAGACACTTAACAGGAGAAAGCTACATATTCAAGGTCTAACAAGTAACTAGCTCACAACAAATATTAAAGAAATTTTAGGATCTGTCTTCAAAACTAACAAGGTAATAAGCTAGTTCTCTGAACTATTCTGGTCTAATTTCTTTGAAAGACTATAAAAATTTCATTGTGAAGTTATGCTAGAATAGGAAAAAAAAAATAATATCAAGTTTAAAGAAAAAAGAAAAAAAACAAAGCAGAAGTGTAATAAACTTGAAAAAGAAAATATAGCAAATAAAGAAAACTAGAATTTAAACAGAAACAACTATGAAGAATCAAGTAAAGGCAAGGAAGAGAGAATCCAAAACCTAGCTAAAGCTAAAGTAAAAACATAGATTGAAAAAAGCTTAAAAGAAAGCTGATTAAATTTCAAAAATAACTAAGGTATCTTGAATAGGCACAGAAGAGCCTTCTAAGGATCACTAGAGTATAAATTTGCTTAAGCAAACTACTCTAGTAGGAGGAAAATCACTTTTGAGACTAATCATACTTAGGCACCTAGAGTAGCTGAGTGAGTTTGGAATTAGAAAAAGAAGGCAGTTATATAGCTAATATAAATTAGTTTTTATTTTTGTTGTAACATTATGTATGTTTTCTCTTAATAAATAAAGGGCAAAATCACCTAAGTTAAAAAAAATAAAAATAAACTAGAAGATAACAAAATTAAAGAAATCATACTTGATTTATTTGATATAAAGTTTTATTTATATTATTATTATTTATTATTATTATTATTATTTTGAAATGCTAATAATACAAATCAAAAATTGAAAAATTTGCAAAACTATAAAATAATCAATTAAAAATTTTAGAACTAATCAATAAATAATTATCTGCCTAATATAAAACTTGGAAAAAAATTTTTTATCTAAAATTTTTGAAAAAAGTTATTCAAAGAAAAAATTTTGCCAATCACTAAATTATTTTGAATAAATGTATATATCGCATCATGCTACACACTTATATCAGGTGTAACGTAAAATTAAAACAAAACGTTTTACTTCAATTTAGTTCGCCATTTTTTACGTTACACCTGATATTGAAATTTGATTTGTGGGCGACAAATTAGAGTATCGCTGTGCAAAATTAGCCAATTAAAATAAAGTGCGAGAATCGCACCCATGCTAGATCTATATTAATCCTATTATTTTATGCAAGGCGTTTTATGCATGCAAGACAATTTGGTGCGGGCGATTGTAAAGTTACCTAAACATTGCATAATCATGCATGAGAGACACCGCGATGATTGAAGATGTGCAATTACACGAAACGGGGCAAAAAAAGGCCAAATTTGGCCGTTGGACGGTTTAATATATTATATTTTGATAGTTTTTACAGTTCTGAAATTCTTTAAAAATTTCGGGTTCCAGACTAAACTTTGAAGACATATAAACCGTAAAAACCTTTAAAGTACGTAGCTAGTTTATATTTAACAAACGTAGAAATGAGTTATGACGGCATCACTGGTCCTGGTAAGGTATGGACGGGTATCGCTAGTACCCAGTCCTACCTGGCTCATACGGAAGCCTATAAATAGCATATCTAATATCAGATATCTATACGTATTCTTTTATTAAAGTTATCGTAACGGTAACGATACGTAATACAGCTTTATACAAATAATCAAAATTGGACAGAGCTATTGTGATTTTTTGATTGAAATTAAAAAGCAAATAATGCAATTGTTATTAAAATGGGTAATACCGTTTATAGATGACTCTTAATTTAGTATACAATATAAAGTCAAAGATCTACATATAATTGATATAAAAGATCATCAATCTTGGATTATCATACAGTATAAATAGTATGAATTCCAACTACAGATTAACGCTAATTACATAATGATCTTTACCTCTAAATTCGCAGATATAACAATTCCTCAACTCGGGATTTATCAATACGTGACGAGTAATCCAAATAATATTCCGGATGATAAAGTTGTCTATGTTGATGGAGTTACTAATAAAAGTTATACGTTTGGCGAATTTAAATGTGAATCGGCGAAATTTGCCGCAGGATTGCAAGATAAGATTGGATTCAAACGTGGGGATGTTTTAGCAATATTTTCGCCTAATCAGGTAACTTCATTAATTAACTCGTTCAAAATTAATAATTATAATTCATTTACTGAGTTTCTTATGATTTTTTAATTACTCATTAAGGTTGATTATCCAATTGTACTCTTGGGAACGATCGCGGCTGGTATTATATAATTTTCATATTACCGGTAATAGGACAAATTTATTCTTGATTCTAAACTATGCTGTATATATTTAGGTGGCAAAGTAACGACGGCTAATCCAAAATATAGAGCAAAAGAATTAGAATATCAATTAATTAATTCTGGTGCATCAGTTCTAATCGTACATCCTGAATTTCTTGAATCAGCCCTTGAAGCTTCAAACAATGCAAAAATACCTACCTCCAGAATATTTTTGTTTGGTGATAAAGAAATAAAGGGACTAAAACCTTATCGCTCTATTTTACTTGGTGATCGCGAAATAGTTCCGGTCTCTTATACTTCCGAAGAAGTAGAATCAACAACTGCTTATATTCCTTACAGTTCAGGAACTACCGGAAAGCAAAAAGGTGTAGAGCTTACTCATAAGAATATGGTTGCTAATTTGGCACAGTTGGCTAATTTGAGATGTAAACTTGGTCCAGACAGCGTTATTATGGGAGTTTTAGTGAGTTATATAAAAAAGATTTCCTTTAAATTTTTTTTAGAATAATTACTAATTATCAGTTTAAATACAGCCATTTTTTCATATTTATTCATTGACTGTTGTACTTCATGCGACCTTGATTCATGTAAGCTTTTGCTTTTATTTATATTTTATATTGATCCATCAGACTGTCGGATTTAATCAAATAGTTTTAATATTTAAAGGGAGCTACTGCGGTCATTCTTTCGAGCTTCAATGTTAATACATTTTGCGAATCAATTCAAAATCATAAAGTTAGCTATATATATGCTGTCCCACCAATTATACTTAGACTTCTTAATGATCCATTGGCCAAAAATTATGATCTATCAAGTGTGGATCTTATCGTAAGTGCGGCTGCTCCGTTAGGAGATAATTTGGAAAAGAAATTTTTTGAAATATTTAAAATACCGATTATGCAAGCTTATGGTAAGAAATTATCGTTTATTATTATTATTCTTCTTAATTAGTGTGTTTCGGGCGAAATTCAATTTTGCATATCAAAATTGGGTGAAATTAATTTCGGACTTATAGGGCGAAACTTAAAAATAATTTCGCACGAAACACTATTCTTTATATAAAATTTAACGATGAACTTATTTACTATTATAAAGGTCTTACTGAAACATCTCCGATAGTACATTATTCAGATTCATCGAATATAATTGCCGGTAAGATTATTTTTTTTGAATTATGTTAAATATTTTATGGTTTACTAAAGCAGCTTATTTCTGTAGGTTCCATTGGGCGTCTCCTCCCAAACGTAAAAGCTAAAATATTATCAGACGACGGTCATGGTAACTATTTATTTTCTTTTCCTTATTTAATTCAGATAAAATTAATCGTTTTATATTTAGAATTGGGATATAATGATTCTGGAACATTACATGTCCATGGTCCAAACATTATGAAGGTAAGTGGTGTAACTACTATACTATTATATGATTAAACTATTGTACTAATGATTTTATACTTTTTGAATAGGGTTATCTTAAAAATAAAGAAGCTACAGATGCTGTCTTTGACAATGATGGATTTTTTAACACTGGAGATATAGCATCTGTTGACGAGCAAGGTATTCTTTGACTTCGGCGGTTCATTATAATTTACTTGCCAAATAAATTTATTGTTCAGTAAATAACATCGTCTTTGCAGAACAATAAATTACTTTGGCAGGTAACTCTAATACTCCGAATAAATCCGTTTCAGTCATGCATGCTGATACTTACCTTAAAACTTATTAATCTTTTATTAAATAAAGGGAACTTTTATATTGTTGACCGAGAAAAAGAGTTGATCAAATATAATGTATGATTTGTAATATTGCACGTTTAATCATGTTATTAAACCTGTCTAACGATTAAAATTAAATTTTATAGGGATTTCAGGTGGCTCCTGCTGAACTGGAATCAGTTTTACTCACACATGAGGTAATATCTGATGCAGCAGTTATTGGATATTACTCCGAAAAAGATGCTACTGAAATTCCTGTAGCTTATGTTACTATAAAAGACGGACATGAACAATCCCAGACCTTAGCGAAAGATATTCAATCTTTCGTGGAGAATAATGTTGCGCCACATAAAAAATTAAGAGGTGGCATATTATTTATTGATAAAATTCCAAAAAGTGATTCGGGTAAAATTTTGAGAAGATTATTAAGGGAGAGAGTTGTTAACGACTTGGTTGTTAATAAATAAGACAATTACACATATATATATTCCTATTTATTCAAATACGTTTTCTAAACGAATAACCATCAATTAGCTGTGTAGAGGTGGGTTCGGTTACGGTTTTAACCATAACTATACGGCTGGTCAGAGATCTTTTGGCCAACCGATGCTATTCAATACAGTATGGCTAAAATTTTAAATCTTTGTGTGTTACATATTTAGCTTGTATTAATCATATATATTTATTATATATTTATTTCCTATTTATTATATAGTATTAAGTATATTATTATTATTATTATTATTATTATTATTATTATTATTATTATTATTATTATATTCTTATATAATTTTTAGTCTAATTAGTGTCAAGTAATCTATTAATGTTAAAAGTGAGTTGACATATTATCCGGCATGATGGTGATTATTGACGTATCATCTCAATGTTTTTTTGCGAACAATATATACAGTACGTAATTAATAGTTATCAGGTAGTTTGTAGATGATATTGAGTTAGCGGCGATAACAGTACGATCCGAGTCAATCAATAGTTGTTGATATCGTTAATAACACAATACATCCACAAACTACCTGATAACGATACTTCGAGCTCGTATGTACAAATTTTGAAATTCTGTTTTTGATACCTACGTAATAATAATTGGTATAAAGAAATAATAGATAGCATGATCAATAGTAACTACTGGATAATAGTACTTACAGTTAGTGCTTGGATCCGGATAGGGTTATCCGGATAAGTTATCCGGATAAGTGTTTGGCTAACGGATAAGTAATCCGGATAAGTAAAATTGTAATGGATAAATTATCCGGATTATCCGGATATCCGGTTATCCATTAATAATTTACAGCTGTTCTCATAAATTCTGGGACAACTGATAAAATTTTGATTGCCGAATTCGATAAGTTACTGATTTCGGTCGAAATAAATAACTTATCAACCGAAATCAATAACTTATCGAATTCGGC